CCACCTCCACTACCACCACCAGAACCGCCTTTCTTGCCACTCCTACCGCGGGACCGCGACGCAGTCGTAACAGCAGCTGCAGTCGCGTCAGTAGCGGCAGTGGCAAGTGAGGCAGTAAAGGTGGGTAACTGCGGGACTGTGCACCCGTGGAAGAGTGGGGGGGGCACAGCACCAGAGGCAGCGGCTACCGAGCGAAGGTTGCTCTCGACGTCCTTGAGTGCAGACTCAAGGACCTCGACGGTGAGCTCACTAGGGTGCTTCAGCAGAAGCGCGTCGCGAACGGAGGCAAGGCGGTCAGGGAGGCTAGTGGCGATGAAATAGATAGTAATCGCCATAGGGGGAGGAAGCAGTGCAAGCTGTGCCTCAGTGCAAGCAGCGCGGTAACTAGCGTCGAGCGAGCGGAGGTGAGCGATCAAGTCAGCAGAGCGCTCAAAAGACGCCAGGTCAGGAAACAGGAACGGGAGGAACAGGCGGCCAAGAGAGACAGCAGCGGGAGTAGAGTAGCGGGCCTTAATCGCAGTGAGGTACGCAGCAGCGGTGCGAACCTGAGTGAAGTGAACCTCCTCAGACTCAGGGAGGAGGCTGCTGAGCGCGATGCAGGCCGCAGCGTCACGTGACGTCCAAGCCGTCTGGTCAGCTCGCTGAGTGGCAAAGCGGGCTCTAGCGGCGTCGTCAGGGGCAGGTCCTAAAGGCGTAGGGTCGGGGGGCGCAGGTAGGGCACCAGTAGCGTGCGCCCAGAGGGACTCGCCTGCCTGGACCTGACTCTCTAACAGACGGCGAGCACGAAGAAGCCAGACGGAAAAATCAAGAGGTCTACCGTCAGCGTCGAAACGAAGGACACGCTGAGTCGCCATAGCGAAAACGAACGCGAACGGAGAGGGAGGGGACAGCAGTAGATGAGAGGCAAATTAGGGTTCGGCGGTACTCTGGGACAGGGGAGGAGCGGACGCCACAGCGGGCGTGACAGCGGGAGGTAACAGGGGACTAAGCAGCGGAGAACGAGAACGGGCGCAGCGGCGGGCGATGGCAGCGCGTACGGCAGCAGGGGCCAGCAGCGCGCGCAGCGGGCGACGGCAGGGGGCGCAGCGGCGACGCGCGCAGCGGCGGGCGACGACGGCGGGGCCGCAGCGAGGCGCGCAGGGGGCGGGCGACGGCGGCAGGCGCGGCGGCGACGAGCGCGGTCGCGAGCGACAGTGGCGGGCGCTGCGGGACGGGCGACGCGACGGGGGGAGAGGGCAGGAGCGACGGGACAGGGGGAGGGCGACGTGACGGGGGGAAAGGGGCGGGTGCGACGGGACAGGGGGAAGGCGACGTGACGGGGGGAAAGGGGCGGGTGCGACGGGACAGGGGGAAGACGACGTGACGGGGGGAAAGGGGCGGGTGCGACGGGACAGGGGGAGGGCGACGTGACGGGGGGAAGGGGCGGGTGCGACGGGACAGGGGGAAGGCGACGTGACGGGGGGAAAGGGGCGGGTGCGACGGGACAGGGGGAGGGCGACGTGACGGGGGGAAAGGGGCGGGTACGACGGGACAGGGGGAAGGCGACGTGACGGGGGGAAAGGGGCGGGTGCGACGGGACAGGGGGAAGGCGACACGACGGGGGGAAAGGGGCGGACGCGACGCGACGGGGGGAGCGCGACGCGACAGGGGGAAAGGGACGGGCGCGACTCGAGGGGGGGGGGAAGGCGACGCGACGGGGGGGCGGGCTACGCTACGAACGAGAGCGTGGCTCGATGCTAGGCTCGGTAACAGCTGGAACGATACGAACGAGAGCGTGGCTCGGCGCTAGGCTCGGTAACAACGAGAAGGAGACGAACGAGAGCTAGGATCAGGCTCGGGTGGTACGAACGGAGAACGGCGGAACGGGATCCCACAGGATCCTAACCTAACTGATACCATGTCAAAATGAAGAATGGATGATGCATTGATGTTGGTTGGGGTACATATAGCTAACCCTAAGTTTTGTACCCCCTAAGACAAACCTCACTATAGGCTACAACATTTGACACTCATCTATAACTGGGCTGATCACTACTTATACAACTCATTCCATCTGCCACTTCCCTACGAATACGCAAACTCCTCATAAACACCTTACCGTAATCTATAAATATCCCATCTCCTTCTTGTACTCCATCTCCTCACTCCACGTGAGCCTGTCCTGAATCCAGTCACCTGTGTCACCTCGCCGGTCCGCGCCCCGTTTCATGGTTCCAAAGACTGCAGCACATAGCACACAGCACACAGCACCAGGCCACACACACAGCAGCACAGCACACAAAGCAGCAGAGCACACATGGGACCCAACCATGCGAACCGTCCCAGCCCACACCATCCACCATGCCATGACAAGCCATAAGGTGTCGCAGGGAAAGGAAATGAGCATATTGTTGAGGAAACAGGAATAGAAAAGGCATCAGGATACAACAAAAGCCAGAAGATTGGGAGACTGGAGGGGAAGCAGGTAAATGCAGGTGAGGGTGGGAGTGGGAGAGGGCGGCTCCATTCCATTCAGTTCCATTCCACATGGCACATCTCAGCCACATTCATCCTGTCCCCAGCACCTCTCGACTGACCTTCTCTCAGGCTGACAGTGCGGGTGCAGCTGGGGAAGACAGTATCTGGGTCCACCCCATGCTGCTTCTGCACTTGAACATTCACATTGCACGACCTGGTGGAACAGCAGAGGAGAAAAGGGCCGAGGGGGAAAGAGAGGTTTGTAGCTGGACGAGGCAGGTCATCTCATTCCGAGTTTGAACGGAATGTGATAAGAGCGAGGGCAGGCAAGATGATTGAAACAAGGGCAGGCAGTGCGTTGAGAGACTTGGCAGCAACCTTATCTCAACACTCAGCCCCAGAATCAAATGGCTGAACACAAGGGTAAACCCTCACCTTGCCCATGCAGGAATGGGTTTCTTTGCCCGTCGCTCCCTCTCCTCATCCTCATCCTCTTCATCCGAATCCATCCTATCCGGAGTCATCTCATAGGACCTTATCCCCTCCGCTGCCGCTGCTGCTGTTGTGGTCCCGGCCCCAGGAGCAAGCTTTCTCTTGGATCTCCTAGGCGTGACTGAAGGTGATAGAATCACATGGTCCAGGTTACTTGGTAACCGCATCCCTGACTGGCCTGGGGCTGGTAACACAGGGCCAGATGCATTGGGAGGCGAGCTGTGGCTGTCTGGGCTGACTGTAACGGGAGGAGCTACAGTGACGGTACAGGAAGCTGGGGTGCTTGCTTCGGCTGTGTGAGATATGCCAGCAGCGCGGAATCTGGTGGAGGCGGAAGGAGGGGGTGACATGAGCTTGGAGGCGACCTCCTTGGCTGTTTGCTTAACTGAGCTGCGAGTTATGCCTGGTTGGGTTGAAGCGGGCAATCTGGCACCTTCTTTAGCACCACCGTTAGCACCAACAGCAGTAGCAGCAGCCTGTGCTTTGGAAGCACTTCTAAGGACTCTCTCCTTGCTGGAACTCGCCTCCTGTTGTTTCCGCTCCTGCTGCTGCTGCTGGCTCTGCTTCGAATCCACTGTTGCAGTTGCGTGGTTGACTTTGCTGGACCCAGGAATCCGGGATTTCAATCCAATCCCCCCAGCTCTTGCAGCTGCTGCTGCAGCTCCTGTTGATGCCGATGCTGCACTTGCAGTAGCTGTTGCCTCTCCAGCTGTCACTGAACTAGCTCCTCCTGCTCTTGTCCTACGCCCAAGCCCAGCAGATGTGACACTAGATACCACCTTCCCTCCATTCCCTTGTGTTCCTGCCTTCGCTGCACCACCAGTCTTCTGTGTGGCCCACTCCCTTAAGCTAGCAACACTTTTAGATGCCTGAGGGGTTGCCGAGGGCCTAGGCAATGAGGAAACTGCAGCAGCTGCAGGGGTAGTAGATCCAGCAGCAGAGGAGGCAGCAGCAACAGCAGCAGAGGCAGTAGCACCAGATGCACCAGATGTGACTGCAGCACCAGCAGACGAAGGCACAGATGCGGATGAAGGGGCAGGATTGGCGGGAACAGAAGCCAGAAGAGAGGAAGATGCAGCAGGCTTACCAACCCCAGCTCGAATCCAGCCGCCTTGAGCAACCACTACCTTGGGAGCAGCAGCAGCCACAGAAAAGCTACCAGAAGCAGTGGTACCAGAAGCAGCAGAAGTAACAGCAGCAGCAGCAGGAGTGCCTGTAAGGAATGAAGTGCTGCTTGGCATGGGAATGAAAGTGCCGCCTGTTAGACTCCTGGCAGCACCACCACTGCAACCGGCTAGGCTCTTCGCCCCTCCCCCATCGCGCTCTTTACAATCCTCACCCACCCTCCCTGTAAGAGTCTCCGTGAGACGAGACCGAAACACCATCCCCTCCCCTCCTGCTATTCCTGCTGTTCCTGCTGTTCCTGCTGCTCCTGCTGCTCCTGCTGCTCCTGCTGCTCCTGCTGTTCCTGCTGCTCCTGCTCCTCCAATACCTCCACACATAGTGAACTTGGGAGGAGGAGGCCCCATGGCGAACCCGCCGCCCGCTCCTGTTCCAGCGCCAACCGACATGGCTCCTGTGCCGCCCGATCTCACGTCGCTCCAACGCACGCCGCCCTTTCCATCTTCCCAGCTGGAGCTAACCATACTGGTGCCACTGCTACCCATGGTGCTGATCCCTGTGCTCAGCAGCCCTGCAGTCCCGGAAGTGAGACGAGAATTGCCGGCTATATTGCCACTGTTCACCCCACTGGGCCTGGCACTGTTCCGCCTATCATCCGTGCTGCTACTGCCCTGCAGCTGTACAGAAGAGCCTCTCGATACAAGTCCACCCCCTATAAGAACACCAGAGAGCTTGGGTGCGCGGCTGCCTGGAACAAGGAAGGAGGCGAAGGAGGGAGCAGCGGATGTGGGGTTGGAGGTTGAGGGGAGATGGGAAGGTGCGTGGGAGCTTCTAGCATGCCCTGCTGCTGCTGCTGGTGCTGCTTGTGCAGAGTCCTGCGTCACCTGCCATTTCCAAGAGACAGAGGACAGACAGTCACACGACTACTATCAGGTTTGAAAAGTCAGCAAACACAGGGCAAGAGCAACGCTACAGCATATGACAAAGAGCTCTTCTCCCCCAGATTTGACCAAGAATCTTACCCCTTTCCTGGCCTCTTGCAACCTCCGCATCTCCATCTCTTCGTGCTCCCTCCTGTGCTGCACAGCCATCTCCTCTTTCCGCCTTTTCTCTGCCTCTGCTGCCTCCTCCCGCCTCTTTCTCTCAGCTTCTTTCTCAGCCAGTTTCGCAGCTTTCTGCTGCTCCTCCTCCTTCCTCCGCCTCTCCGCCTCCTTCTCCCGCTCTGCCCGCTTCTGCCGCTTCGCCTCCTCCTCTGCGGCCTTCTTGGCCCTCTCCTCCTCTTCCTGCCAATCCAGTGAGACATGTGATATGAGAAGACGAGGAAACGGAACAAAATTAGTACAAGCTACAGGCACGAGAGAGGGCAGAAAAAAGAGGAATGGAAGTGTTGAAAAATGGAAAGAACAACTCATGCTCAAAATGGTTTCACCGCTAGACTTGAAAAACACGGGTAATTAGGATTCAGGTAGAGAAGAGAAGGGGAGAGCAGGAAGAGGGTAGAGTGGATGTACCTTGGCTTTCCTGATCCTCTCTTTCTCCATGTGCTCTTGCCTTGCCTTCTCCTCCATCTCCTTTTTCACCTTTGCCGCCTCTTCCACTCGCCTCCTCTTCTCCTCAACCTTCGCCCTCTCCATCTCCTCCCTCTCTCTCTTCCTCGCTGCCCGTTCCTCCTCCTTCCTCTTCTTCTCCTCCTCCTCCCTCTCCCGCGCCTCCTCAATCCTCCTCGCCTTCTCCTTCTCCATCTCCTTCCTAGACTGCATCGCTTTCTGCATCTTCCCTTGCACGCCCTCGCGCTCACTCAGTCCCGCCTCCACCTTTCTTCCAGATCTCGTCTTAACACCCGTTCCCCGTGCTTCTGCAGTATCAGAAACCCCCACACGCACTCCACCTGCGCCTTTAGGAGTGGCAGGGGGTTGGTCTGCAACTGCTACCCCTCTTTCCCGCCCTTTCCTCCCCGCCACACCCGTTGCTGCCTCCGAAACGCCCTCTTTTCCTTCCGCTTTTGCCTTCCCTCGCTCCTCCCGCCGTTTCTCCAGTGCTATCCGCCTCTGCCGCCTCTCCTCCGCCTTCTGCTCTGCTTCCAGCCGTGCTGCCTCAGCCGCTGCTAGCGCTTTCACTTGGACGTTCTGTTTGCCCGAGGCAGGAGGGGGTGGGGCTGGCTGGGCTTTCATGATCAGCGACACAAACGAAGTGGTTGACGTTGCAAAACGCGACCCTACCACTGCTCCCGCTGTCCCCACCGTTGCCCCTGCCGCTCCTCCCGCTGCTGCATTGCTCCCTGCACCAGCCACCAAACTCCTCTCATCGCTGACCCCCAAACCACTACCAGCCACATTGCCAGCACCAACAGCAGCTGTCACCGCACCAGTAAGCAACCCCCCTCCCAGAATCCGAGAAGCACCTACAATCCTCCCTGCTTGCCCCACAATCCTGGATGCTGCAGCAGAAGGGACTGCTGCTGCCGACCCTGCTTGTGCTACTCGTGCTGCCGACCCTGCTTGTGCTGTCCATGCAGCAGAAGGGGCTGCTGCTGCTGACCCTCCTTGTGCTAACCATGCTGCCGACCCTGCTTGTGCTGTCCATGCAGCAGAAGGGGCTGCTGCTGCTGACCCTCCTTGTGCTAACCATGCTGCCGACCCTGCTTGTGCTGTCCATGCAGCAGAGCTCCCAACCAGTGAGGCGCAACGAACCGCTGGCTCCAAGGCTGGGGTTTCCAGCCCTGAGGTGGAAGCTAGTTGTGTGCTGACTGGGGCCTTCAGCGCTGAGGATCTGATCGCACTAGGAATGCCCCCCCAGGAACTGGTGTGGGACCTTGATTAAGCTTCGCCTCAGCAGCAGTATGCGGGGTGCTGGCATCAGCAGCAGTATCATTGCAAGGCGTACCATCCTCGTCTGCCTCCCCTTCACCACTCGTCCTTTCTCCAGCCCCCCCTTGCTCCTGCACCATGCCTTCTTCATCCACCGCTTCACTACCCTGCTCCTTGTCTTGTTCCTCCTCTTCCTTCTCTGCTTCCTGCTGTTCCTCTCCCTCCTCCTCGTCCTCCTCTTCTGTCTCTCCTTCCTCCTTGTCGCTCATGACAGTGCTGTCTCGTCCTTGCTCCTGTAACTCATTACCAGCCGAAAGCAAACTCTTGTCACTCTCTGCACATACACGCTCCTTCTCTGCATCACCATCCCAGCCATCTCCTCCACATTCACCACCGCCATCAGTGTCATCATGGCCCTCGGACACATGTACCTCACCAACTTCAGCGTCCTCGTCATCAGACATGACATCCATGCCATCAGCTGCAGAATCCACCTCATCAGCTGCAGCTTCCACATCATCAGCCGCAACATCCAGCTCATCAGATGCGTCATCCACATCATCAGCCGCAGTTGCCACATTGTCCAATGGCTCATCAGCATCTGCTTCATCACCTGCGCATGTATCTGCTTCATCACCTGCGCATGTATCTGCTTCATCACCTGCGCATGTATCTGCTTCATCACCTGCGCATGTATCTGCTTCATCACCTGCGCATGTATCTGCTTCATCACCTGCGCATGTATCTGCGTCATCTACCACGCACTGACCATCCATCCACTCTATCTCCTCTTCCTCCTCTGCTTCCTCCTCGACCTCTCCCTCTTCCTCTTCCTCCTCCATTTCCTCAGCCCCCTCCCCCTGCTCCTCTTCCCTCCCATCCCCATTCCCCACGTCGTCGCCGCATGTCTCCTTCCTTCCCCTTTCTTCCTTGCCATCCTCATCCTCTTCTTCCGTTTCTCCGACCTCTTTCTCCCGTTCGCTCTGCACCACTTCATGGCCAGGCTCCCTCTTTTCCTCTAATTGACTCTCCTTTCCCATGCCTTCTCCCTCCCTTTCCCCCCCGCCTCTTCCCTATCCTCCCACTCCTCATTCCCGCCATGACGAGCCAGAGCGCTTCTCAACTCCGCCAAGAACCCTCCCCCTCCTCCCGCGGCACCTCCCGCCCCCCTCACTCTCTTCATCCTGCCGTTCTTCCGCAGCTGCTGCAGAATCTCATCCCCCTCCGCCCTGCTCTTCGCCCCTACAACCGCGCCCCTGCCAAAGGCAGTGCCTCCGAAAGCAGCAGCAGCACCCTGCGCCCTAAGCTGAGCCAACACACAGTTCCTCCTGCCTACGGCTCCTCCCTTTGCCTCACCTGCTTTCTCTTCACCATTCACATCCTCACTATTAGCAGCTTCTTGGATATCCACTTGAGTTTCAGCAGCCTTCATGCTTAACCGTGGGTCTTCGGTCTCCATACAGCTTACTGACACAGCCACACCAGTCTCCTTCCCCTCAACCTCAAACCTCCTTCCCTCTCCCTTCTCCTCAGCATTGGAATTCCTTCCCTTCCCTCTCCCATGCAGCTCCTTGATTCCCACCTTCAACTTCTTCCCACTGCCGTGACTCGCCTCCTCCCTCTCGTCCTCCCCCGCCTCCTGCTCCGCTTCCTTCACCGTCTCCCCCAACCCCACCACCTCCTCAGCAACCCCACATGGTTCTTCCGCGACAGCAGCAACAGGTGACTTAGGATTCGACTCACAAGCCCCCGCAGCAGCATCTGGTGAGCTTAGAGTCACAGCAGCATCAGGTGACTTTTGAGTCGGCTCACAAGCCTCAACAGCAGCATCAGGTGACTTTTGAGTCGGCTCACAAGCCTCAACAGCAGCATCAGGTGACTTTTGAGTCGGCTCACAAGCCTCAACAGCAGCATCAGGTGACTTTTGAGTCGGCTCACAAGCCTCAACAGCAGCATCAGGTGACTTTTGAGTCGGCTCACAAGCCTCAACAGCAGCATCCGTGTTTTCTCCGCCAGCATCCTCGATCAACGCCCCTGCTGCGGCAAAGGTAAGAGCAGCGGCAAAATCCCCTTCCGCCTGGTCAACCGCAGCCTGTCGTCGGCCCCTTCTCCTGCCCGTCCCAGCAGCACTAGCACCCTCGGTACCGCCCACGTTCTTAGCCCTGCCTCTGCCCCTTGCCCGGCTGCCCGTTGCTTTGCTAGCACTAGCAGCGGTGGCTTTTCTTGCACTAGCCGCGATCCTGCTGCTGCTACGGAGCAGTCGGAGCCCATGCACGGTCGGCTCCTCCCTCTCTAGAGGGAAGCCATGAAACGTCTGCTCCTCTGTATCAAAAGTAGAGCCATGGATGCTGGCTTCTTCTCTCTTGAAGCTCGGGGTTAATCCAACCTCGTTCAGTTTTGCTCTCTGGGCGCTATAATGCACCGCTTCTCCACCCCCAGTGACGTCCCTGTGCTGCCCTGCTGCTCTGTCCGTACCGCCTTGCTTCATATCATCACTCACTTGCGTTCCCTTCTCCTCGCTTTCTTCCTGCTCCTCCCCCACTTCCCTCTCCTCCCCCACTTCCCTCTCCTCCCTCACTTCCCTCTCCTCCCTCTCTTCCCTCTCCTCCCTCACTTCACTCTCCTCCTCCACCCCTGCATCCTCTCTTGCCTCCTCTTCCTTCTCCTTTTCCTCCTCTTCTCGCCTCGCCTTTTCTCCTTCCTCATCCACCGCCTCCTCCTCCACCACAGAATCACCTCCACACAGCAGTGCATCATCCGCAACGGTTGTGCGAACCGGATTGCTCACCAAACCCGGGCTGCTCTCCACGGCGTCGACGACGTCCAGTCGTTCTGCTGCCTCTGATCCTCCTGACGCGTCTGACGCCCCTACCTCCCCCATATGTGTCCCTGCCTTGGAGCCTTCTAGCACTGGCGTCCCGTTCAGGTCCTCTGACTTGACTGATCCTACCTGAGGAGCGCCATCCCCGACCGCATCCAACTCCTCGACACAATCAGCTAAGGTCCCTGCAACTGCCTCCTCTGTCCCCTCGTCCTCATCCGCCCTCTCTTCCACCTCCGTCCCCTCGTCCTCCTCCGCCGTCTCTTCCTCCTCTATTTCCATGTCTTCAGCCTCACTCTCTCCATCGCCGTCTCCTCCCTCTTCCCTCATCTCTTCATTGATGCCCTTTGCCACCAAAACGTCAACCTGTTCTGAAAAAGCTCCTTCTTCAGCTTCCTCAGGTTCAGAGTCAGCTTCCGGCGGCTCTGGCACAGCAGCATCAGCACCGGGTTCAGCATTCTCTGTCCTTCCAGGACTGTCCTCCTCGCCTCCGTCTGTTCCCAGCACCAGTTTCTCCTCCATCACACCCTGTGAGAGCGAGTCACTCTCTGTGCCAACACCGCCCACTCTCTCGTCCTCAATCCGGTGCTCATCACTCTCTGCTGCCGTACTACCGTCAATCCCCAGTTCTACTTCCATGCTTACAACCTCCCTTGATTCCACTTCCTCCTCTTCCTTTCCCAACGCATCGTCGTCTCCCCTTCCGTCCATCATCTCCTCTAATACCTCCCCCTCCTCTACTTCCTCCCCTTCCTCTACTTCCTCCCCCTCCGCTACTTCCTCCCCTTCCTCTACTCCCTCCCCTTCCTCCAATTCCTCCCCCTCCTCTACTTCTTCCCCCTCCTTCAATTCCAAACCCTCCTCTACTTCTTCCCCCTCCTCCACTTCCTCCTTCCCTTTCTCTACTTCTTCCTCCTCCTTCGCTTTTCCCTTCTCCTCTTCCCCTTCCTCATCCTCCTTCCCCTCTTCCTCTTCCTCCGCCTTCTCCTCGTCTTCCTCTCCTGCCACAGATTCTGTGGGCCCAGCAACAACCTCTCCTGGCGCTACACCCTCGCTTGGATCTCCGAGCTCCTCATCTGCTTCCGCATAACCGCCAATACAGCCGCCACTCGCGCCCCTTCGTGGCGTGGGTACCACGTCAGACTCTGCCGACGGCAGCACTCCTAGCTCTGCGTCACGCGCGGTCCCCTCCTCCGCACACTCAGCAGCACCCGCTTGGCATTCCGCAGCTTCCACGTCTTCCGCGTCTTCCGTCCCTTCAGGTGCTCGCACAGAGTCAGAAGCTGCGACTCCTGCATCATCCTTCTCCTGCATCTCCTCGCCAGTCTCCACTTCTCCCTCCCCAACAACCACAGCCGCCCCCGCAACCTCCTCGACTGTCTGTTTCTCGTCATCAAGGGCCGGACTGCCAGACTCAACCCTCAGTGCAGTCTCAGCTTCCTCCACACGCATCGCCTTACCAAGCCCCCCGAGCTCCACTCCTGCACTGGCTGCTGCCACCTCCACACCAACATCTGATGCTTCCGGCACAGTCGCAGGTTCATCTTCAATCACTGCTGCTTCGTTTCGGTCCTCGTGCTCCACATGTTGAACGGTTCCTGTCACCTCAAGGTCAGCTTCCCGAGTGCTATCAGCTGCAGTGGAGTCCGACATGACAGAGGCAAGATCTATTTCATCGGCGGCAACATCAGCACCAGCCTCCGCACCAGCATCAGCATCAACAGCCATTTGTGCAGCACCATCCACATCAGCTGCTGCAACGAGATCCTTGTCTCCAGCAGCAGCATCAGCAACCGTTGCTGCAGCATTGTCGGCGCCAGCAACCGTCGAATCAGGAGCACCAGCCTCAGCAGCAGCCATCGCCACAGCACCATCTGCATCAGAAGTTGCTGAACAAGGAGTGTCGTTCATCCCTTCCGACACTTCTCCATATGCTGCAGGCTCCACTAGGGTTTCCTTAGAAACCATTTCCACCACCTCACACACCTCCATATCTTCGGCCGCTGCCTTCCCTTCCTCCGCTGCCTCCTTTTCCTCCATTTCCTCCTCCTCCTCCTTCCCTTCTTCCCCCTCCTTCACTTCCTCCCCTTCCTCCACTTCCTCCTCCTCCTCCGTCCCTTCTTGCCCCTCCTTCACTTCCTCTTCCTCCTTTACTTCCTCCTCTTCCTTTTCGCCCTCCGTGTCAGCGGCCATTTGGCCAGCAGATTCCCGTGCCACGTCAGCGGATGCACCAACGGTATTATCATCACCGCCACCCTCAGCCACAGCACCAAACGACGCACCACCCTTACGTTCAGGTGAAGAAGATCCAGAAGCATCACCAGTGCAAACGGCCAGAGCGGCTGCATTACTTTCAGCGGCCACCACGACTGCCTCCATTTCCTTCTCGGGAGAAAGGCTCACGTGAACAGGCACAGCAACTGCGTCCAAGGCACTGCTGCTTCCGCTGCTGCCGGCTTCAGTCACGGTTGCTCTCTTTCTGCCTCTCGTCGCTCTCTTCTCTGCTGGAGCTTCCACTGGAGCTGGATCAACGGTCAGGGTCGTTTCAGCAGCGGCGGGCTGGGTGGCTTCACCAGGTTCTGCGCAGGTGATTAATGAGAGCAAACCATCAGGCTCAGTCGAGTTGAAAGTGGGGAATCCAGAAAAAAATCGGCAGCGTAATAAGGAACAAAAGAGAAAGCCAAACGAAACCAGTCACACTCACCTGGCTCGTCCGCTTGCTTTTGAGCCTTCCTCGGCCGACCCCGACGAGGCAGAGGCGGCAGCGGTGCAGCAGCAGGCGCACCACCACCACCGCCAGAAGCACCGCCAGCAGCAGCAGCAGCTCTGGCCGAGGCTCGAGTGGCTCGTCTCTCCACAACTGGCACAGTCGCCTTACTCCTCCCCGCCGCCTCGCTGTCTGGCGCTTTCACCGTCTCGCCAGCCTCATCAGCAGACTCGGAAACTGCTGCCTTCTTGCCTCGGCGCCCTCTTGCACCTCCGCGCTTGCCTGCTGCAGCAGCCGAGCTTTCCACGTCAGTAACAATAGCAGTTTCTCCTGCGTCCTCTTTCTGCTTCTCGCCTCCCACAACCTCCTCCATCTCTTCCACTTCCTTCGCGTTTTCTGCGCCTGCTGTCTCCTCGGCAAAAGCAGCTTCGCCAGCAGCTTCAGTTGCTACCACGACCTCCTCTTCAGATGCAGCAGTCGATCGGGACCGTGCAAAAGCAGGCTTCGCCCCCTTCCGTGGTCTTCCTCTTCCCCTCGGCTGCTTCGTTGGACAATCCGCTTCCTTATTCTCTGCTCCCGCTCGATCTCCCGATCCGTCTCCGTCAGCCATCGTGTCCATTCCTTCCATTGGCACAGCTCCCTTGAAGTCAACATTAACGTCACTGTCTTGATGAGCTGAAGGAGTCTTTACTCCTCCATCCGCGTTATGAGTCGCCTCGTTAGCGTCCATGGCCTTGAACGCTAGCTGCACCTGCTCAAGCTTCTCCGCAAGCTCATCGGATGGAGAAGCTGTCCCCCGCCGTTGGATCTTCGCACCCCGGGATCTGGAAGAAGATCGACGGCTGGGAGGAGGTCCTGACGAAGGTGCATCTGGGGAAGGCTGGGAAAGCGGACCCAAGCCTTTAGATCGCGAACGGGCTGACCGTCGGACCTGGCTGCCATCCTCCTTGTTCTCCTTATCCTCTTCTGCTGCTGCGGGTGTGAAAGAGAGAACGCTAATCACGTCACTGTCTTTCCGCATAGCGGATTCATTGCTCGGAAATTGGTTCGGAAAGTGTGACGAAACAACTGGGGTCGCCTGTAACGCCTGCGAGCTTGCTGGCTTGGTGTAGCGAAATAGATTCTGAAGCTGCGGTGCCAAGGAAATAGCCGTTGAAGATTTGCAAGAGGAATCTTGGTTCTCAACGTCGTCGCGACTGGATGATTTGTTGTTGCGGGTTCGCTTGGGTTGTCGGACATCCGCAGTCGATTGATGACGTGTCGCTTGCGTAGTGGACGATCTGAGATGCTTCTCGGCGAGGCTTAGCCAGTCTTTCCAGTCCTTTTGTTGACTTGAAGAATCATGCTGGCCTTGATTCCAGATCCCTCTCTGAAAGACACACATTGATGCAAGAGACGCGTTAGTGAACGACACACGTTTGCGAAACACACACGCTAATGAAAGACACACGAGAACGAAAGACAAGCAGGTCGTTTTGAAGCAAGCATATTGAGCATTAGATGGAACTTGTTCAAATGTTGAATGAAAAGCAGATGAGGACTACTAGACGTCAAGGAACAGAAAAACGTCAATAAAAGGGTGCGACGATAGGACTATCTTCAAGATCAATACTTACCAATATGTCAGTCACGGGGTCGCGGGTGTCTTTGATCGCAACATTGCTAGCTTCCTTTGGGAGCTCTACCCCTCCTCCGGCTCATATTCTCAAGGTGAGAATATAGAGACGGATAGATAAATAACCTAGTTAATAATCCGCCTCAGTACTCTAGCAGCTCGTCTATCGTGTAATACTCCGAGCTTATGAGGTGACAAGGCTTAGATATGTCATCATGAGACTATCGTTGCAAAATCCTGACAGCGGTTTGTAGACGAGCAGATGAGGGTTCTGCTCTAGTCATGAAACGTCGAACTACTCTGCTTCACAGATTAAGCTAAGAAGAATGATGTCGGCTTCTGAGACATGAAGCATAACCCAAATTGCAGAAAACAGGCGACTATGTCATGTGAGTGAGTGAAAGACCACGGAACAATCAGCGAAAGCTGAAAATCAGAATCTGAGAATCAGATACCTCGGGATTGCCGCAGGGACAAGGGCATGAGACCATTCAACCATCATGTTCAGATGTTGAGTTATGGCTCGAAGTAGTTTTAGCGCATGAACCGCTCCAATGTGCATAGAACCGTTCGCAACCGCTTGTTGACGTAGCAGAAACGGAGCTCATGACGAAGCGCTCTGAGAAGCAATGGTGGGAATTCAGGCAGGGTGATTCTTGCAGTGGTTTCAGTTCGCCCATCAGGAGGATCATGCCTGGTGTGGTCTGCTGGTTTGGCAGTGGTGACTCGCAGAATTTCAAAATTCAGCGGGAACTCTGTGGCGCCTCGGTGTCAGAATCTCTGCACCAGTAGTAAGGCAGTCAACTGTCCCTCGATAGAGGGATTAAGTCATGATAAAATTATTATACAGCGCTCTGTCCGATGTGATTGAATATGATAGTCGGGATACACGCGGGCGTTTCAATATTGAACCCATCGAAAAAATACACGTTTAGAGGACACAGCCCGACTCATTTATGTGCAGCTCTTTCCTCCCCACTTCAGCTTCGAAAATACTGTAGGACCTTGAGATCTCCCTCGCTTCTCGTGAGCACCTTCCTTTTCTTCCAACCACAGCTCGCGATCCTGGGCGCTCAGCGAGAAACTATTGGTGGAGTATGTGCATCCACCACACCATCCACGTAAGCACGCACCACTCACAGCCCTTCTTCGTTTCGTGAGCACAAGACCGCGCTGCACCGATCTGATCTATGACGCAGCAACAAACTCTCGAAAGCCATCGTGTCTTTCCCCCACTTCACTCACTTCTCCCCTCCAGTCAAGACCAGAACAGTTGTAGACTAGAGACTAGGGCCAGCCAAGCCGCGTGACCCCAGTTCTTCAACCTGACCCTTTGCGAATATCAAAGCGGTTATTTTCCATAGTTGCTTACCGAAGCGCCTATCCTCTACGGGGGGTAGGTTTCCTCCGGGGATCTCCTTAAAAGCCCCAAAAAAAAAAAATATTTTCCATAGTCTCTACTCTCATGGCGTCGTCGCTGCTGCTCCAGCCCAGAGCCGTGCGACTGGCAGCGAACCCCTTGAACCCACACAATGCGGTGAACCCTCGCAATGCGGCCATGCATTCCGGTCTCACACAGAGGCCTGTCGTTCGAGCTGCTTCCGCGCGCAGCATTACAACGTCGTCTCTCAGCAGTCCGATTGCACCGATCAGCGCATCTAAGCCGTCCACTCAGCTCTCCGCGCTCTGTCCCGCAGCGGGTCTCCCTGATCTACGGCTGCGATCTCGAAGCAGCGCGAAGCGCTCTCTCGCGCAAAGCGAAAGACCGGCGCAGCGTTTGGCCGTTTCCGCATCCGCCGCCTCCCCTGCCGCTCCCGCTCCCGCGGAGAGCGAGAAACCTAAATTCACGTGGGCCGGTGCCGCGCCGATTCCGTTCGTCATCTCCGTTGGCGTTGGCCTGGCCGTCCGATTCTTAGTCCCCGGTACGTCAGACGGTGCGGATTAATCTGTAGTTGTTGATGCAAACATAAATGTTAAAGTTGATAGATGACCCTTTAAGATTAGCCCTACGACACAACCGGTAATTCTCCCGGTTCCGTTCAGTCCAGCCGCATGGGGTTCGCTGTACCAGGAATTGTTAAATGCAGAGTACCTAACTGTTTTACCACCTTGGCAGCGCCACGGCTGTCTAGTTCGCTCTGTTACACTCTCAGGAGCTCGCAAGCTGCATTTTCCTTAGCTGCAATCTTGCTTGCCATAATATCGTATGCTGCATTTACGCTAGCTGCATTCTCGCAGGCTGCATTTTCAAGCAGCATTTTGGCAGCATTTATCGAGCATCATTCTTTAGATATAAACCCACCTGTTGGCCCAATATGAGTTTGCCCCATAGAAATTCATGGCCACATAAAAAAGCAATCTTTAAACCACTATTGCTGAGGAATTTTTTGATTACTGCTTTGGAAGCCCTATCCCAGACCCACTCTGTCCCCAGTGTTAAGGCATTACTTTTACCTAACCGCATGCTGTAATTCCCATATAGACCAGTGACATAATAGCTTTTATCATTTTTTCCAACACTTTCCTCCTTATGTTTAACTACAAGATCGTCTTGGTTTAGTTCAACACCGGATGCTCGATAAAGCTTTTCTAAAGCTTTTTTGTCAAGAGCTCTATTTCGCTTTATAGATCCTAGCAATCCTACATCTGCTCTACCTTTTGCTAGCCCTTTTGGTTCAGGATAATAAAAGTAAGTTGGATTTAAATTATAACCAACTCCTAAATTGGTGGTAATCAGTTTAAGATGCTTATTGAATTTTTTACCTTGCGGACTTCCACCCATCACGGTATCACTTGGAATAACACATGGCATATAATTTAAATCTGCACCCGGACTAATTACCCAATGAGAACCTAATCTAACTTGCCAGGTGAAACCAAATAAAAAGTTTAGATAACCCCCTTCTGCACAAGGGTCCTCTTGTACTTCATGTTGTCTTGCTTTTTTTTTGCTCGTTTCTGTGTCATTTTTCTGATTTATATAATAAGCGTTGGGTATGGTAAGATAAGTAAAACCTACACCCAATTTAGCTACCAGTACAGACCGGGCGTTATAATCATGCTGCGGGGAAACATAAGTTAAAATACCAAATTGGAGACTGCTTTTTCGCAAGCTGCATTTTCACATGCTGCATTTGCGCTAGCTGCATTGTCATTCAGTATCCTCTCCTCTTAATTGAATCCCCCAATTCCCGCCAGAGTTACAAACCATGCTCGTTATATTTTTTCCGCCGGGCACCTTACCCTCTCCCGTCCTCCTTCCTTCCATCCCTCCATCCGTCCCGCACGTTCGCCACCCGTTCCAGCCGGAGTGACGACTCAGGCACGGCAGCTACTTGCCATCTTTCTCTCCTTTTGCTGCCCGTCTCAACCTCTCACTCTCTCCCTCCGTCCCTCCTTCCCTCCCTCCCGAACTGTCTCCCTCGTTCGCCACCAGTCCCAGCCGGAGTGACCACCCAGGCATGGCAGCTACTCGCCATCTTCCTCTCCACCATCACGGGTCTCGTGCTCGGGTGAGTCATGCGTTCTGCTTGATGGTTGAACATGTAAGTGCTCTGACGCCCCTGTAAAATGCTGGTCGATTTGACCCGAAGACGCGATTTTTGAGGACTCGCCATCTTCCTCTCCACCATCACGGGTCTCGTGCTTGGGTGAGTCATGAATTCTGCTTTATAGCGTAACGCGTTAATTTCTCTACTCGACTCGAATCTCGTAAGGCATGCATACGTACTGGTTGATAGCTGAGCGCGTAAGTGCGCGCCAACTCCTTGTGGGCGCGTGGGCCGTCTTGTCCCGTACAATCACCTCCTCTCCAAACAGTCTGCTTAAAATGTCCCACCTTCAATCCCACACCCGTCCCTTTTTCCGACTGAACCCCCCTCAGTCCTCTCCCAGTGGGTGCGTGGGCCTTTGTCTGCCTCACCTTCACTGTCCTCTCCAAGACCCTCTCCTTCGCTGCAGCTTTCAGGTCTGTCCTTTTCCTCCCATACTTGTCTCTCATTGTCCTCTGCTTTCCTATGCTATGCCTGCCGGTGCTGCCTGTGCTCATCCCCAAGTGGCCCACGCATCCCCTTCCCTCTCAAGTTGACTTTTGAGTCGAGGTGACTTTTGAGTTGGCTCAAAAGTCTGCCTGTGCCCATCCCCAAGTGGCCCACGCATCCCCTTCCCTCTCAAATTAACGCAATACATACGAAGAAGCCAGGTCTGATGGCTTATTGCCGTCTCATTCCTATCCCTCTTGTTCTTTTCTGATTGTCATACACATAAGCTCCACACTCCGACCCTCCTCTCTTCCCACTCCCCCTCCATGCAGCGCCACTCCCCCTCCATGCAGCGCCACTCCCCCTCCATGCAGCGCCACTCCCCCTCCATGCAGTGCCACTCCCCCTCCATGCAGCGCCACTCCCCCTCCATGCAGCGCCATGACCAACGAGGTCATCTGGCTCATCGTCATCTCATCCGTCCTTTGGGACTTATCATGCACGCACCAAACATGCCATGCCCCCCTCTTTCATTCCCCCTCCCCCCCTCCCTCCCTCCCCCATGCAGCGCCATGACCAACGAGGTCATCTGGCTCATCGTCATCTCCTTCTTCTTTGCGCGAGGCTTTGTCAAAACAGGCCTGGGAGACTGCGTGGCATTTGCTCACACATTCCAGCCAACCTCCCATCTCCCTTCCCCTCTCGCCCTTCTTCCTCTCCCCACTCCCCTTCCATGCAGCGCCATGACCAACGAGGTCATCTGGCTCATCGTCATCTCATTCTTCTTCGCGCGAGGCTTCGTCAAGACGGGCCTGGGCGACCGAGTGGCGACTTACTTTGTCAAGTGGTTCGGCAAGAGCACTCTGGGGCTCAGCTATGGGCTCGCAGGTGTGTGGTTGTTTGTTGTGCGGTGGGGGTGGGGATGTTGTGGGAGTGTATGTGTGTCACCACGAGCCTGGGGGACCGAATGGCCACTTACTTTGTCAAGTGGTTCGGCAAGAGAATGCTGGGGCTCATCTACGGGCTCGCAGGTGTGAGCTGCTAGGTGGCTAGCTATTGCAAGCTAACGAGTGTGTCTGTGTGGGTGGGTGGGTGTGTGTGTGGAGACGTGTGTGTGTGGGTGCGGGATAGGGGGAGTGTTTATGACGTTGAGTGTGTGTGCGCACGCATGCGTGTGTGAGTCAAGAGGGACCTGGGGGACCAAGTGGCGACTTATACCAAGTGGCGACTTAAACCAAGTGGCGACTTAAACCAATTGGCGACTTAAACCAAGTGGCGACTTATACCAAGTGGCGACTTAAACCAATCTTGCCAAGTGGAATGGTTTGGGAAGCCCAGGACAATCAAACTTATACCACCCGTCTTCCTCCGCGCTTCCCTCTTCTGCCCTCACCCTGACTTCACCCTGACTTCACCCTGACTTCCCTCTTCAGTCTTCGAGGCACTCATTTCCCCCACCATACCCAGCACCACAGCCCGAGCAGGCGGCGGCTTCCTGCCCATCAGCTGTCCCCCGCTTTTGTCCCCCTGTCCCCCGCCCCACCCTCTTCTGCCCCCTTACACAGTCTCTGAAGCGCTCATCTCCCCCACTATGCCCAGTACCACGGCCAGGGCGGGCGGGGTATTCCTGCCCATCATCAGCAGCTTGGCGCGCAGCTTCAACAGCCTGCCCAACGACCCCAGCTCCAAGAAGCTCGGAAGATTCCTCATCATGTCTCAGTTCCAGGTGAGATGTTATGTTCTAGTAGAGTTGCCTACGTGTATGAAGAAGTGTTTTGAGACGTCTCAAAACAATTTCAGGTGAGATGTTATGTTCTAGTAGAGTTGCCTGCACACCCTACACTGGTAGGCTGAGTGTCAACAGCCTGCCTTACGTCCTTAGCTCCAAAGCGCTGGGCTCAATTCCATGTCCTTAGCTTCTCATGTCTCAATTCCAGGTGAGATGATTGAGCTTCAGGCCCTTCCCTCCTCTTCCCTAGGCCTCTGCTGAATCGCTCACAGGAGGGGCGCAGATCCTGCTGTGCACCCAACTGGCATTGTCGCTCCATGCGCCACTTTCCTCCTCCCCCTTCTCCCCACTTCCCCTTACCCATCCCGCCCCCCCTCTCCTGGCCTCCGCCAACGCCAGCGCCATGTACCTGACAGGAGGCGCGCAGAACCTGCTGTGCATCAAGCTGCCGTTGACTTTCCACCCCTCCCCACCTTCCCAATCCCTCCCCCCCCCCACTTCCCCTTCCCTGTCCCGCCCCCCTTCCCCAGGCCTCTGCCAACGCCAGTGCCATGTTCCTAACGGGAGGCGCACAGAACCTGCTGTGCATCAAGCTTCCCCTATTCCCCCCTGCCTTCCCCTTTAACCCCCTTCCCCTCAGGCCTCCGCCAACGCCAGCGCCATGTACTTAACGGGAGGCGCACAGAACCTGCTGTGCATCAAGCTGGCTCAGGAGCTGGGGGTGATCATTCCCAACGTGTGGGCGACGTGGTTCAAGCTAGCAGCCCTCCCAGGTATGTTTACCCTAAGCCTACCCGAAATAGCCCCAATCCCAAATGGCCACGCTCACACATCCTCCTGCTCTTCCCACACCCCCCTTCCTCTTCGTCCCCCCTTCCCTTTCCAGGTCTGATCGGCCTGCTGGCCACCCCTCTCCTCCTCTTCACTCTCTACCCGCCTGAGACTCCTCGTGAAACTCAAAGAGATGGGCCCGTCCCCTTATCCTTCCCCCCTCCCCCTCCTCCACTTTTGTCTGTGTGCTCACCCATTCCCCCTCCAGGTCTGATCGGCCTGCTGGTCACGCCGCTCCTCCTCTTCACACTCTACCCGCCCGAGCTCAAGGCCACCCCTGAAGCACCCGGGCTGGCAGAGGTGAAGCTGAAGGAGATGGGGCCTGTCACGCCCAACGAGCTCATTATGGTTGGCACCATGCTGCTTGCCGTGTCCCTTTGGGTGCTCGGGTAAGTTCTGGTGAAGGTGTTATCTGTGGTCTGGGGGAGGGTGGGTGGTCTCTGAGGCACCTGAAGAGGTGAAGCTCAAGGAGATGGGGCCTGTCACGCCCAACGAGCTCATTATGGTTGCCACCATGCTGCTCGCCGTGTCTCTTTGGGTGCTTGGGTACGTCCTAATCAATTTTCTCTTGATCCTACTTCAGCGATTCTGTTGACCTGTGCAGTGCGGTGGCTTCAATTATCGCTCTGTGCTTGTTTAACTCCCTCCCCGTCCCTACCTTCCCTCCCCATCTCTCTCACCCCCCTTTCGCGTATCTCTCTCACCCCCCTTTCGCGTATCTCTCTCACCCCCCTTTCGCGTATCTCTCTCACCCCCCTTTCGCGTATCTCTCTCACCCCCCTTTCGCGTATCTCTCTCACCCCCCTTTCGCGTATCTCTCTCACCCCCCTTTCGCGTATCTCTCTCACCCCCCTTTCGCGTATCTCTCTCACCCCCCTTTCGCGTATCTCTCTCACCCCCCTTTCGCGTATCTCTCTCACCCCCCTTTCGCGTATCTCTCTCACCCCCCTTTCGCGTATCTCTCTCACCCCCCTTTCGCGTATCTCTCTCACCCCCCTTTCGCGTATCTCTCTCACCCCCCTTTCGCGTATCTCTCTCACCCCCCTTTCGCTATATCTCTCACCCCCCTTTCGCGTATCTCTCTCACCCCCCTTTCGCGTATCTCTCTCACCCCCCTTTCGCGTATCTCTCTCACCCCCCTTTCGCGTTATCTCTCTCACCCCCCTTTCGCGTATCTCTCTCACCCCCCTTTCGCGTATCTCTCTCACCCCCCTTTCGCGTATCTCTCTCACCCCCCTTTCGCGTATCTCTCTCACCCCCCTTTCGCGTATCTCTCTCACCCCCCTTTCGCGTATCTCTCTCACCCCCCTTTCGCGTATCTCTCTCACCCCCCTTTCGCGTATCTCTCTCACCCCCCTTTCGCGTATCTCTCTCACCCCCCTTTCGCTTATCTCTCTCACCCCCCTTTCGCGTATCTCTCTCACCCCCCTTTCGCGTATCTCTCTCACCCCCCTTTCGCGTATCTCTCTCACCCCCCTTTCGCGTATCTCTCTCACCCCCTTTCGCGTATCTCTCTCACCCCCCTTTCGCGTATCTCTCTCACCCCCCTTTCGCGTATCTCTCTCACCCCCCTTTCGCGTATCTCTCTCACCCCCCTTTCGCGTATCTCTCTCACCCCCCTTTCGCGTATCTCTCTCACCCCCCTTTCGCTATCTCTCTCACCCCCCTTTCGCGTATCTCTCTCACCCCCCTTTCGCGTATCTCTCTCACCCCCCTTTCGCGTATCTCTCTCACCCCCCTTTCGCGTATCTCTCTCACCCCCCTTTCGCGTATCTCTCTCACCCCCCTTTCGCTTATCTCTCTCACCCCCCTTTCGCTTATCTCTCTCACCCCCCTTTCGCGTATCTCTCTCACCCCCCTTTCGCGTATCTCTCTCACCCCCCTTTCGCGTATCTCTCTCACCCCCCTTTCGCGTATCTCTCTCACCCCCCTTTCGCGTATCTCTCTCACCCCCCTTTCGCGTATCTCTCTCACCCCCTTTCGCGTATCTCTCTCACCCCCCTTTCGCGTATCTCTCTCACCCCCCTTTCGCGTATCTCTCTCACCCCCCTTTCGCGTATCTCTCTCACCCCCCTTTCGCGTATCTCTCTCACCCCCCTTTCGCGTATCTCTCTCACCCCCCTTTCGCGTATCTCTCTCACCCCCCTTTCGCGTATCTCTCTCACCCCCCTTTCGCGTATCTCTCTCACCCCCCTTTCGCGTATCTCTCTCACCTCTCACCCCCCTTTCGCGTATCTCTCTCACCCCCCTTTCGCTTATCTCTCTCACCCCCCTTTCGCTTATCTCTCTCACCCCCCTTTCGCGTATCTCTCTCACCCCCCTTTCGCTTATCTCTCTCACCCCCCTTTCGCTTATCTCTCTCACCCCCCTTTCGCGTATCTCTCTCACCCCCCTTTCGCGTATCTCTCTCACCCCCCTTTCGCGTATCTCTCTCACCCCCCTTTCGCGTATCTCTCTCACCCCCCTTTCGCGTATCTCTCTCACCCCCCTTTCGCGTATCTCTCTCACCCCCCTTTCGCGTATCTCTCTCACCCCCCTTTCGCGTATCTCTCTCACCCCCCTTTCGCGTATCTCTCTCACCCCCCTTTCGCGTATCTCTCTCACCCCCCTTTCGCGTATCTCTCTCACCCCCCTTTCGCGTATCTCTCTCACCCCCCTTTCGCGTATCTCTCTCACCCCCCTTTCGCGTATCTCTCTCACCCCCCTTTCGCGTATCTCTCTCACCCCCCTTTCGCGTATCTCTCTCACCCCCCTTTCGCGTATCTCTCTCACCCCCCTTTCGCGTATCTCTCTCACCCCCCTTTCGCGTATCTCTCTCACCCCCCTTTCGCGTATCTCTCTCACCCCCCTTTCGCGTATCTCTCTCACCCCCCTTTCGCGTATCTCTCTCACCCCCCTTTCGCGTATCTCTCTCACCCCCCTTTCGCGTATCTCTCTCACCCCCCTTTCGCGTATCTCTCTCACCCCCCTTTCGCGTATCTCTCTCACCCCCCTTTCGCGTATCTCTCTCACCCCCCTTTCGCGTATCTCTCTCACCCCCCTTTCGCGTATCTCTCTCACCCCCCTTTCGCGTATCTCTCTCACCCCCCTTTCGCGTATCTCTCTCACCCCCCTTTCGCGTATCTCTCTCACCCCCCTTTCGCGTATCTCTCTCACCCCCCTTTCGCGTATCTCTCTCACCCCCCTTTCGCGTATCTCTCTCACCCCCCCTTTCGCGTATCTCTCTCACCCCCCTTTCGCGTATCTCTCTCACCCCCCTTTCGCGTATCTCTCTCACCCCCCTTTCGCGTATCTCTCTCACCCCCCTTTCGCGTATCTCTCTCCCCCCCTTTCGCGTATCTCTCTCACCCCCCTTTCGCGTATCTCTCTCACCCCCCTTTCGCGTATCTCTCTCACCCCCCTTTCGCGTATCTCTCTCACCCCCCTTTCGCGTATCTCTCTCACCCCCCTTTCGCGTATCTCTCTCACCCCCCTTTCGCTTATCTCTCTCACCCCCTTTCGCGTATCTCTCTCACCCCCCTTTCGCGTATCTCTCTCACCCCCCTTTCGCGTATCTCTCTCACCCCCCTTTCGCGTATCTCTCTCACCCCCCTTTCGCGTATCTCTCTCACCCCCCTTTCGCGTATCTCTCTCACCCCCCTTTCGCGTATCTCTCTCACCCCCCTTTCGCGTATCTCTCTCACCCCCCTTTCGCGTATCTCTCTCACCCCCCTTTCGCGTATCTCTCTCACCCCCCTTTCGCGTATCTCTCTCACCCCCCTTTCGCGTATCTCTCTCACCCCCCTTTCGCGTATCTCTCTCACCCCCCTTTCGCGTATCTCTCTCACCCCCCTTTCGCGTATCTCTCTCACCCCCCTTTCGCGTATCTCTCTCACCCCCCTTTCGCGTATCTCTCTCACCCCCCTTTCGCGTATCTCTCTCACCCCCCTTTCGCGTATCTCTCTCACCCCCCTTTCGCGTATCTCTCTCACCCCCCTTTCGCGTATCTCTCTCACCCCCCTTTCGCGTATCTCTCTCACCCCCCTTTCGCGTATCTCTCTCACCCCCCTTTCGCGTATCTCTCTCACCCCCCTTTCGCGTATCTCTCTCACCCCCCTTTCGCGTATCTCTCTCACCCCCCTTTCGCGTATCTCTCTCACCCCCCTTTCGCGTATCTCTCTCACCCCCCTTTCGCGTATCTCTCTCACCCCCCTTTCGCGTATCTCTCTCACCCCCCTTTCGCGTATCTCTCTCACCCCCCTTTCGCGTATCTCTCTCACCCCCCTTTCGCGTATCTCTCTCACCCCCCTTTCGCGTATCTCTCTCACCCCCCTTTCGCGTATCTCTCTCACCCCCCTTTCGCGTATCTCTCTCACCCCCCTTTCGCGTATCTCTCTCACCCCCCTTTCGCGTATCTCTCTCACCCCCCTTTCGCGTATCTCTCTCACCCCCCTTTCGCGTATCTCTCTCACCCCCCTTTCGCGTATCTCTCTCACCCCCCTTTCGCGTATCTCTCTCACCCCCCTTTCGCGTATCTCTCTCACCCCCCTTTCGCGTATCTCTCTCACCCCCCTTTCGCGTATCTCTCTCACCCCCCTTCGCGTATCTCTCTCACCCCCCTTTCGCGTATCTCTCTCACCCCCCTTTCGCGTATCTCTCTCACCCCCCTTTCGCGTATCTCTCTCACCCCCCTTTCGCGTATCTCTCTCACCCCCCTTTCGCGTATCTCTCTCACCCCCCTTTCGCGTATCTCTCTCACCCCCCCTTTCGCGTATCTCTCTCACCCCCCTTTCGCGTATCTCTCTCACCCCCCTTTCGCGTATCTCTCTCACCCCCCTTTCGCGTATCTCTCTCACCCCCCTTTCGCGTATCTCTCTCACCCCCCTTTCGCGTATCTCTCTCACCCCCCTTTCGCGTATCTCTCTCACCCCCCTTTCGCGTATCTCTCTCACCCCCCTTTCGCGTATCTCTCTCACCCCCCTTTCGCGTATCTCTCTCACCCCCCTTTCGCGTATCTCTCTCACCCCCCTTTCGCGTATCTCTCTCACCCCCCTTTCGCGTATCTCTCTCACCCCCCTTTCGCGTATCTCTCTCACCCCCCTTTCGCGTATCTCTCTCACCCCCCTTTCGCGTATCTCTCTCACCCCCCTTTCGCGTATCTCTCTCACCCCCCTTTCGCGTATCTCTCTCACCCCCCTTTCGCGTATCTCTCTCACCCCCCTTTCGCGTATCTCTCTCACCCCCCTTTCGCGTATCTCTCTCACCCCCCTTTCGCGTATCTCTCTCACCCCCCTTTCGCGTATCTCTCTCACCCCCCTTTCGCGTATCTCTCTCACCCCCCTTTCGCGTATCTCTCTCACCCCCCTTTCGCGTATCTCTCTCTCACCCCCCTTTCGCGTATCTCTCTCACCCCCTTTCGCGTATCTCTCTCACCCCCCTTTCGCGTATCTCTCTCACCCCCCTTTCGCGTATCTCTCTCACCCCCCTTTCGCGTATCTCTCTCACCCCCCTTTCGCGTATCTCTCTCACCCCCCTTTCGCGTATCTCTCTCACCCCCCTTTCGCGTATCTCTCTCACCCCCCTTTCGCGTATCTCTCTCACCCCCCTTTCGCGTATCTCTCTCACCCCCCTTTCGCGTATCTCTCTCACCCCCCTTTCGCGTATCTCTCTCACCCCCCTTTCGCGTATCTCTCTCACCCCCCTTTCGCGTATCTCTCTCACCCCCCTTTCGCGTATCTCTCTCACCCCCCTTTCGCGTATCTCTCTCACCCCCCTTTCGCGTATCTCTCTCACCCCCCTTTCGCGTATCTCTCTCACCCCCCTTTCGCGTATCTCTCTCACCCCCCTTTCGCGTATCTCTCTCACCCCCCTTTCGCGTATCTCTCTCACCCCCCTTTCGCGTATCTCTCTCACCCCCCTTTCGCGTATCTCTCTCACCCCCCTTTCGCGTATCTCTCTCACCCCCTTTCGCGTATCTCTCTCACCCCCCTTTCGCGTATCTCTCTCACCCCCCTTTCGCGTATCTCTCTCACCCCCTTTCGCGTATCTCTCTCACCCCCCTTTCGCGTATCTCTCTCACCCCCCTTTCGCGTATCTCTCTCACCCCCCTTTCGCGTATCTCTCTCACCCCCCTTTCGCGTATCTCTCTCACCCCCCTTTCGCGTATCTCTCTCACCCCCCTTTCGCGTATCTCTCTCACCCCCCTTTCGCGTATCTCTCTCACCCCCCTTTCGCGTATCTCTCTCACCCCCCTTTCGCGTATCTCTCTCACCCCCCTTTCGCGTATCTCTCTCACCCCCCTTTCGCGTATCTCTCTCACCCCCCTTTCGCGTATCTCTCTCACCCCCCTTTCGCGTATCTCTCTCACCCCCCTTTCGCGTATCTCTCTCACCCCCCTTTCGCGTATCTCTCTCACCCCCCTTTCGCGTATCTCTCTCACCCCCCTTTCGCGTATCTCTCTCACCCCCCTTTCGCGTATCTCTCTCACCCCCCTTTCGCGTATCTCTCTCACCCCCCTTTCGCGTATCTCTCTCACCCCCCTTTCGCGTATCTCTCTCACCCCCCTTTCGCGTATCTCTCTCACCCCCCTTTCGCGTATCTCTCTCACCCCCCTTTCGCGTATCTCTCTCACCCCCCTTTCGCGTATCTCTCTCACCCCCCTTTCGCGTATCTCTCTCACCCCCCTTTCGCGTATCTCTCTCACCCCCCTTTCGCGTATCTCTCTCACCCCCCTTTCGCGTATCTCTCTCACCCCCCTTTCGCGTATCTCTCTCACCCCCCTTTCGCGTATCTCTCTCACCCCCCTTTCGCGTATCTCTCTCACCCCCCTTTCGCGTATCTCTCTCACCCCCCTTTCGCGTATCTCTCTCACCCCCCTTTCGCGTATCTCTCTCACCCCCCTTTCGCGTATCTCTCTCACCCCCCTTTCGCGTATCTCTCTCACCCCCCTTTCGCGTATCTCTCTCACCCCCCTTTCGCGTATCTCTCTCACCCCCCTTTCGCGTATCTCTCTCACCCCCCTTTCGCGTATCTCTCTCACCCCCCTTTCGCGTATCTCTCTCACCCCCCTTTCGCGTATCTCTCTCACCCCCCTTTCGCGTATCTCTCTCACCCCCCTTTCGCGTATCTCTCTCACCCCCCTTTCGCGTATCTCTCTCACCCCCCTTTCGCGTATCTCTCTCACCCCCCTTTCGCGTATCTCTCTCACCCCCCTTTCGCGTATCTCTCTCACCCCCCTTTCGCGTATCTCTCTCACCCCCCTTTCGCGTATCTCTCTCACCCCCCTTTCGCGTATCTCTCTCACCCCCCTTTCGCGTATCTCTCTCACCCCCCTTTCGCGTATCTCTCTCACCCCCCTTTCGCGTATCTCTCTCACCCCCCTTTCGCGTATCTCTCTCACCCCCCTTTCGCGTATCTCTCTCACCCCCCTTTCGCGTATCTCTCTCACCCCCCTTTCGCGTATCTCTCTCACCCCCCTTTCGCGTATCTCTCTCACCCCCCTTTCGCGTATCTCTCTCACCCCCCTTTCGCGTATCTCTCTCACCCCCCTTTCGCGTATCTCTCTCACCCCCCTTTCGCGTATCTCTCTCACCCCCCTTTCGCGTATCTCTCTCACCCCCCTTTCGCGTATCTCTCTCACCCCCCTTTCGCGTATCTCTCTCACCCCCCTTTCGCGTATCTCTCTCACCCCCCTTCTTCCTTCTCCCCCACTCCCTTCCCCCTCCTCTTATCCCAGCGACGCCGTCGGGGTCGCAAGTGTAGTCGTGGCAATGATCTCTCTCTGAGTGCTCCTCCTCTCGGGAGTGCTCTCATGGAACGACTGACTGGCAGAGAAGTCAACCCTTTCTCTCTCTCTACCCCACTTCCCCCACTCACCGAGACGCCATCGGGATCCCAACCGTGGTAGCAGCGATGACCGCGCTCTGCGTGCTGCTGCTCTCGGGAGTGCTCTCGTGGAACGTCTGTCTCTCAGAGAAGTCAGCATGGGACACACTAGCATGGTTCGCCGTGCTCATCGGCATGTCAGCACAGCTCAACGCCCCCCCCTTCTCTACCTCCCTCTTCTCTTCCCCCTTTCCATGCCCTCCCTGCCTCGCTTCCCACTCCCCCCTCTCACCAGTGATGCCATCGGGATCCCAAGCGTGGTGGCAGCAATGATCGCTCTCTGTGTGCTGCTGCTCTCGGGAGTGCTCTCGTGGAACGACTGTCTCTCAGAGAAGTCAGCATGGGACACGCTGGCATGGTTCGCCGTGCTTATCGGCATGTCAGCGCAGCTCAACGCCATGGGCATCGTGCAGTGGATGGCCGATAATGTCGCGGCTGGATTGACGGGAGCAGGAGGAGCGTGGGTCGGAAACTTCTTCAAGCTGCAGGTACGTGTGGGTGCCTCTATCTCCCTCTCATTCGCCGTGCTCATCGGCATGTTAGCACAGCTCAACGCAATGGGCATCATGCAGTGGATGTCGGATGATGTCACTGCTGGGCTGACGGGGGCAGGAGGAACATGGGTTGGGAATTTCTTCAAGCTGCAGGTACGTGTGTGTCCATGTCTCGGTCTCTCTGTCCCTCTCTCCCATTGTCTCTTTGCCTCCTTGTGTCTCGACTCGACTCTCTGCCAGCCAAGCCGGCCACGTGGGCACGCTGTACTTTTAGCTCCTGGCGTTGCGGCATTTACTGAGGTGACTTTTTTGAGTCGACTCAAAAGTCACCACGTGGGCACGCACGCTTCTTGAGACGTCTCAAAAACACCCTCACTGCACGTGGGCACGCACGCTTTACTTCTAGCTCCTGGAGATGCAGCTGGTTGCAATCCGTTTCGCGTGTAGTGAGTCTATTTGTGAGTCGACTCAAGAAGATGCAGCTGGTTGCAACCCGTTTCGCGTGTAGTGAGTCTATTTCTGAGTCGACTCAAAAAGTTGCAGCTGGTTGCAACCCGTTCCGCGTGTAGTGAGTCTATTTCTGAGTCGACTCAAAAAGATGCAGCTGGTTGCAACCCGTTCCGCGTGTAGTGAGTCTATTTCTGAGTCGACTCAAAAAGATGCAGCTGGTTGCAACCCGTTCCGCGTGTAGTGAGTCTATTTCTGAGTCGACTCAAAAAGATGCAGCTGGTTGCAACCCGTTCCGCGTGTAGTGAGTCTATTTCTGAGTCGACTCAAAAAGATGCAGCTGGTTGCAACCCGTTCCGCGTGTAGTGAGTCTATTTCTGAGTCGACTCAAAAAGATGCAGGTGATTGCAATCCATCCCCCCCACCCCTACCTTCCCTCTTTCCCCATTCCCCCAGGCCATGTACTTCGGCTCTCACTTCCTCTTTGCCAGCCAAACCGGCCACGTGGGCGCGCTTTACTCCTCCTGCCAGCAAGCCTCATCTCAACCTAACCCCTTCCCCCGTTTCCCCATTCCCCCATTCCCCTGTTTCCCCATTCCCCCAGGCCATGTACTTCTGCTCTCACTACCTCTTCGCCAGCCAAACCGGCCATGTGGGCGCGCTTTACTTCTTGTGCCTGCAAGCCTCATCTCAACCTAACCCCTCGAGTTTTGAGTCGACTCAAAACTCGACTCATTACACGTGGGTGCGCTAGTTTTGAGGCGTCGCAAAACTAGCCAAACTGGCCACGTGGGCGCGCTTTACTCCTTGTGCCTGCCTGCCTCATTTCAACTTAACCCCTGAAACCCCTTCCCCCTATTCCCCCATTTCCCCAGGCCATGTACTTCGGCTCGCTCTACCTCTTTGCCAGCCAGGATGACCACGTGGGCACTCTCATGCCAGCAGAACCTCATCCCACCCAAACCCCTGAAACCTCTTTCCCGCTTTCCCCCATTTCCCCAGGCCATGTATTTCGGCTCGCACTACCTCTTTGCCAGCCAAACCGGCCACGTGGGCGCTCTCTATTCGGCCTTCCTGGCCATGCAGCTGGCGGCAGGCGTGCCAGGTGTCCTCGCGGCATTGGCTCTCGCACTCAACACGAACCTGTTTGGGTCCATCACCCACTACAGCAGTGGGCAGGCTGCGTTGTACTATGGAGGTGAGTGATACTAAAACGGGTATGAAGTGTTTATTGAGGGTGTGGTGTGGGGGCCTGTATGGGTCCATCACCCACTACAGCAGCGGGCAGGCTGCGTTGTATTGTGAAGGTGAGTGAGACTATAACGGGTATGAAGCGTTTTGTACTATGAAGCTGCCTATATCCACCTGCAGAATATGTTCAGTGTTAGGACGATAACTGGCCGTAATACGCTGCATATCCCACCTTCCCTCTGTTCTAGCACTGGCTACGGTACATCGACCTGTCTGACATGTTCAAGTTCGGGACTATCACAGCGGTTGCGACACGCAACATACCAGTGTCCCCCACCTATTTATTACCGCACCCATTCTACTGTTTTCCCTCCCTCTGGTTTTTACAGCTGGCTACATCGATCTCCCGGACGTGTTCAAGTTTGGGGCCATCACAGCAGCGGTCAACTTTGCCATTTGGATTGCAGTTTGTGCCTTCTGGTGGAAGATCAACGGCTTGTTTTGATTTGCTGGATCAACCCTTATCAGGTGGAACCTCAATGCTGTCGTCTCATTGACTGCCTAGGTGCCTGCCTGTCTGTTTAGCTGATAAAATGATCCCCAGCCTAGGAAATCAAGCATCACTTTCCTTCCCATGTAGCTTCCAACTAAATTAAACCAGGGTGTAAATGCATGCTCTATTCAAAAGCACAGAAAACATTACATTCTAAATCTGGGCTCAATTCATTTACAAGGTGCAGGAAAGCTGGTACTAACATCTTACGAAATACACAACAGCTGCACAAAGCCACCTCAGATCTTTTATAAGCTGATCCCTTGTAACCAAAACACCAGAGATTGAGACGCAAAAATAACTGCTGCTGCGTACAAAAAGTTTTCACCGTGGAGATTCCGAGCAGGATTTGCGTTCCATCCCAAAACAGTTCCTGCTACGAAAAAACAGAGGGACGCGCATCGACCACGAATCACGAGCGAATCGCGACTCTCTCTGAGGGAGTGGGAGGTCGAGGTGTAGGAGGTCGTAGTACTTCGCACGAGACCTTTCCCTGTCGGTTTAGTGGAGAAGCTGGTACCGGGACGTTCAGAGCCGTTCGGCCGCTCTGCTGCTGCTGCTGCGTTGCTTGTACTGCGTTGCTCGGTCGTGTTGCTGATTGGGTGGAGTTTTCCACCGCAGAAACCCTCGGGGTTACCACAAGGGACGGGTTGCGCGCGATCGGCGTGTTGGGGGCGGAAGCGGCGGGCGATTCCGCCAGCGGGGGCGGGGGAAGCGCGAACGCGGGGGAAGCTGGCCGCCCATTGATCATTACCGTTGGGGATACGCCGAAATTTTCCGCAAGGGATGGGCGCTCAGCTTCGAAGCTGGTGCGTGCTCTCCACTGCGACAGGCGCGGTAATACCGAGGGGTCGAATGTGCGCGCAGATTGTCGCAAGCTCCGCGACTCTCCCCGCAAGCGCCATGACCGCCGCAATGGGCGCTGTCCCTGCCGCCATCGCTTCCGATGCCGCTGCCGCTTATGGCGGGAGATAGTATTCGCGAGGAGCACGACCGAGTCGCCTGAGGTGCGCACGCGCCCCCGCGCATCCCGTCCGCGGACCGCGAAGATCCCGCGGAAGCCTGCGCCGATGCGTATTCGAGTGGAGGCAGGGGGAGTGCGGCGGCAGTTGCCTCACGGGGAAAGTCGGCGCGGCGGGAAAGCACGCCTGAATGCGGCAGCACAGCGGCGCTGGCGCTGCGCGCGAGCGCTATGTGTTGAGCGTAGACGGGATCTGATTGGTCAATCGGGCAGGATTGGCTGCGAGGCGTTGGATTTGGCAGCGGGGAAAGCGGGGAGAGTGGGGCATCGGGGGGAAGCGGCAATTGCGCGGAAAGCGAACGTTGCGCAAGGAGCGGACGCGGAGAAAACGAGAAAGCAGATCCAGCGCCTTCCGAGGAATCTTGTGAACGGCCGCGCCGGGAATCATGCGAACGGGTCCGCTGAAACTCAGAGGATGTCATCATTATGGTTACGGGGTTACCACTGCTGTAGTATAGTCGCCAACGGGATTAATTTTATTAGCAGTTCTGAGAATATTGAGCGCGTGTCGCACCAGTGGCGTTCTCTCAACTGCCAATGGCGTTCTTCCTGATAACACGATCAGTTACTGCGGCTAACGAAAGCCAAACGAGCAGTCAGGAAAGCCAAACGAGCCTTTAGGTCCATGCGGGGTTCAGCGCGCAGGCAGTTATTGGCTGGGTGGATGAGACGCAGAGACGCACTCTTCGGAGCACAAATGTGAAACAGGATGTACCGTAATCCATATGACTTGAATGTGCAGGAGCGATCATGCGAAGAATATGCTGCACAGCCTGAGGATGGGTTGAGACTTCAGACCTGAGTCCAGAGCTGGGTGGTGGTGACGGCGAGGTTTGAGGGCGCTTCCAGAAAGCGCAAGAACAGATGCTGTCACTTCTAGGGTTCCTCGAGAGTCTCACTGGGACTTGTGGTTCCATCACGAGAGCTACGTTACCCACCGTTCGCTCCTTTCTGTGTGGCTTTGCTTGGAGGAAGGTGCATGCGCTGCTTGGACCAGATTTTGACAGGTTTGCGGATTTCCGAGCGACAGCTGTCGTACAGAACTTTTTGGACGCGTGAAAGCGACTGATTTTGAGGCAACTGTAGTCATAACGAGGCAGCTGGTGATTAGAGCATTTTTTGGTAGTACAGCACGCCTTGCGCCAGCACGGACGATCCGGGCGCTTTTAGAAACAATTCTGCAAAATCCGGGCCATGAGAGAAAATAACAAATAATAATATAAGAGAAAAAGGCCTGAGAACCTCCACGTCAAGAGTTTTGCGATTAATGAAACTTAAGGGGGGTTTGTCAAAAGATGTATTTCTGAAAACTTCCAAAAAGTTGCGGCCATGACAGGGTGTTTGCCTCTCTAACATACGCCTTCCTGAGTACACTGCTTTGGCACTCACGAGTAAAGTCGGGAAACTCGGGAACCTCCCCAAGCCTACACCTGGCTGGCTCGGCATGATTTCTTGAACAATCAACTTCATTCTAAAGCAGGCTTGTAGATTCACGGACATTTGTCCGTTTTCCCTGAGAATTCAGGGTTCGCTTCAGATCAGCTCGGAGATTTTCAGGGATGGTTTTTCCCAGGCCCGGATTCCTAACGGACAGGTTTTAATCCCCCCCGGATTTCCCGTACCTGTCCTCCCCTCCCACTTCTCCTCCTCCCTTTCTTCCTTACCTTAGACCGCGAACTGATCGCTCACCCCTACTCCCAGTAACATCATACCAGTCCCTCCCATCCCCAAACGTGTCTAGCTCGATTATCTAAGTCTGTTTACACAAGTGTCCTCAGAGCCAGAAATAGAAATGCCCTGATTTTAAGTCCGCTTTCCGGATCCTTCAGGGCTGATTTCGGGGCAGCTCAGCTTCGTACGGACCCAGACCTAGCGACAGCCCTGTTCTAAAGCTCCATGAATGCTCTGTACCGAAGGCTTCAACACCGGAAAAAAAATGATAGCTAGCTCAACCGAAGCATTTGTACATTCCAAATCCCCGATATCATCAGTGCAAGATAAGTTTTGCCGTTTTCTGGGCCTCCACGAAACGAGCAAGCCACAAGCTTGGAGATAAGTCTGAGGGCGCATTGATTTGGTTGAGAGTCCACCAAAGTTCGAAAAAATAGAGAGTTTCTAGCTGGTACAATAAAGCTAGAATACGACTTGCCACGGTACACAGCGGTCAACGTTCGAACTAAAGCTGATTGCGCCTAATGCAACACGCCCTAAACGATCAGTTGCGTCAGATCGAGCGTGCACGAAGAGTTTGAGGGAATTGAGGTCTGTCTGTTTGTCGTGTTGCTGTGGCCTCGGGCTGTTCTCCACGCGAGTTGATTGATGCATCAGCATTTGACAAAAACACTCGCAAGAAATTTCCAAGTCCAAGTCGCTCTGGACTTTGAAAGGTGAGTGTCATGATTGGAAGATGCAAGTCCCAGACTGGCTTGCGAAGTTGCCAACGCTCCTTCGCGCACAAGACAAAAACTTGCAAACGCAATTGCTGTCGCGAAGTGTAATCATTGGACTCGGCTTGTCATGCTCAGAACTGCAAGGCGTTTTACCCTTGACCCCATGCACTATAAGGTCGTTCTAAAGGTCGCCCTGCCATTTGGCAGGTTTGGTAGGCTATAGGGGGGGCCCTATTTCGTGTACCTCGGCCGTCGATCGTAATCCGTCCACCCACTTGTTACACGCCTGGCTGGGCAGCGAGGCGATGACTATCCACTCTCAGATGAGCAGTGCGAAACCCCCTTTTGGGAGGCTGGCGAAATGCGCCGGCTCTGGGGTTTGAACCTGGAACCTCATCATTCGGAAGTGCCCATTCTAATGCCTGGGCCACTTCAAGATACCCTGCCATTTGGCAGGGTTAGTCAGAACGAATCAACAACCCTCATGCATAGTTGAGATCCACGGGACCCACTGCCCGAATCAGAGATCCAGCAGCTGGAAGAATGACACTCAATAACATGATTCGTTTTTCCCATTACGCGATGCTCCGACATGTGCTCTCTCTCTACTTCTGAGGCGCCTAGGGTATGAGAGAAAAATAACAACAATCGAAATGGACGGCTAATATCTTGCTTTGGTCGAACACATTTGTTACCAGATTAACCCTAGCTGTTACCGTCCGTACCATCAGCTCACCATCTTCCTCCCACACCTGCTCTTACCCACAAAAAATCAATCATCATGTTCTGCATCGGGTGAGGTGAAGTGAATGACTTCGTAACAATCACAGAAGCACAAGAAGCCTGTACAGGTGGAAATGCGTGCAGCTTCTCCCCTCCTGGCAGCTATTTTTCTATCTGTTAACATCTCAACCTGCTAAGCCCGATTTCTCCATGCGCTTTTTTCGTGCACGGAAATCTATTGACCTGATAACCTCGCTTGGAACCGCCCATCTCTTCCCCCCCTCCCCCCGCGCCTGACGTGCTGACAGATTAGAGAGCTGACATGGTGAAGCGCTGACACGGCGAAGCGCTGACACAGCGAAGCGCTGACACGGCGAAGCGCTGACACAGCGAAGCGCTGACACAGCGAAGCGCTGACATGGTGAAGCGCTGGCATGACCAAACGCTGACAGGACTGATGGGCTGACAGGGCCAGCACTGGTCGGCCCCGGCGGCGAGCAGCGGCTTGTACGGGTGGAAATGGTGCACTGACTCCCCACATCTCTCTGCACCCCTCTGCAGCGCACTGCTATGGCTAGCTGCTGTGCGTCTACCCCGCATAAATGGAGACAATTGAGTCGGTGGCACCGGCGGCAAGTAGGGGCTTGTACAGGTGGAAGTGTAGCGCACTCATCCCTCTTCCCCCCCCAAAAAAAATCCACACCTCTGCACCCCTCTGCACCCCTCTGCAGCACACTAACAAGCCTGCATGGCTAGCTCCTGTGCGTCTCCCCAGCGTAGATGGAAACTATGGAATCGGTGGCACCGGCGGCAAGGAGTGGCTTGTACGGGTGGAAGTGCAGCGCGCTGACAGGCCCGATGCGCTGACCCAGGAAGCTGTTGTGGTAGCGCACGACACTGAGGAGATCCCCTGACATGTTGAACACCTGAAGGGGAGGGAGAGGGAGGGTAAGGCAAATGGAGAGTAGTCTCAGAAGTGTAGCATTGACAGGCCCGATGCGCTGGCCCAGGAAGCTGTTGTGGTAGCGGACACCTGACTCAATAGGTCGCCCAGACTTGTGGAACAGCTGCGAGGAGAGGAGATGTAGGGGGAGACGGGCGATACATACGAGCATTTGACACTTGGGAAACAACCGTTGGGAGCTTCTGTGAAAGCCGAGGACACTCAAGAGGTCATCTGGCACGATGAACACCAGCTTACGATAAATGCACATTTGAGTTGCAGCCAATTCTGAAGAGTTTGCAGCCAATTCTGTAGCATATCACAAACTGCAGTGCACCAGACAGCGCTACTCACTCTAATTAATTGTTTTGAGCTGCCCGTGGCCATCACGGGCAGGTGGCGGTGAACCGTGAGCGCTGTGAGGTGCCCCTTGTGCGCCTCCACTCTTCTGATTGGCTGCCCCGGATTCCGGGCATCTAAAAACACGATCTCGCCGGAGCTGGAAGCAGAAATAATCTGCACGCAGAGAATCGTGGCGAGATTGTGGCAAAAATTGGCAAGAAATAACTAAAGAAGTCAGGTCGAAAAGCATGAAAAAAACAGGTTGGGAAGATAAGAAGTCACTAAAGTGCCTGCCTGGAATGATTGTAAGTAAAGTATTTAACGAGGATGCCTATAGCGTACCTGAGGAGCGGCAGTGCTGGCAGGGTGGAAGGCAATTCCTGCGACTCGATGCGAGTGATGGTGCGTGCCGCACACAAGCCTGGAGGGAAAGTGGAGTGGGGAGTCAAGGTGGGGAGGCTAAGGTGGGGAGGCAAGTTGATGTTGAAAATGATAAACAGCAATCCCCGCGACCCGATGCGAGTGACAGTGGGTGCCGCACACAAGCCTGCAAGGGGGGAAAGGCATGGGGAAGGCGAGGTTGTGAGTGCTCTCAAAAGCGGCAGTCACGGCGGAGTGGAAGGCAACCCCCACGATTCGATGCGAGCGATGGAGCAAGCCGCACACAAGCCTGGAGGGAAAGAGGAGTTGGGGAAGCAATGTGCAAAAAGCAAGTTCGAGGTAGGTCAGTGCAACCAAAGAGTCAGAGAACAGGGCATGACAGAGCAAGTTCAGGCATGACAGAGCAAGTTCAGGCATGACAGAGCAAGTTCAGGCATGACAGAGCAAGTTCAGGAATGACAGAGCAAGTTCCGGCATGACAGAGCAAGTTCCGGCATGACAGAGCAAGTTCCGGCATGACAGAGCTGCAGAGGGAATTGCAGAGCATCAGAGTCATCAGAGGTTCCACTGCCAAAGAACATAGCTGAACTCGCAGGGTGCTGCGAACGATGTCAAATAGCCGCACATACCCACACAGAACCACATAGAACCGCACATAAACTCATGATACTGCACTCACTGCGCCCGGGGCTATAAGCGCATGTCAAGTAGCCGCACAGAGCCACACAGAGCTGTCTAGACCCACACCGAACACATCACAAACTACTCTAAGTACCGCTGCTGCAGAACACATCACAAACTACTCTAAGTACCGCTGCTGCAGAACACATCACAAACTACTCTAAGTACCGCTGCTGCAGAACACATCACAAACTACTCTAAGTACCGCTGCTGCAGAACACAACAGCACTCACTGCGGCCGGGGCTGCGAGCGAATGTCAAATAGCCGCACAGAGCCATCGTCACACCCCGCTGCCACGTAGCTTGGCTGGACGACGGATGATCCCTGGGAGGTGGGCAACAAGGGGAAGGGGGGTGGGGGAGGGGAGAGAGAAGGGGGGAAGGCGGGTGGGGAAAGAAGGGAAGAGGCAGATGGGAGATGCAGCAAAGCAGCCGCACAGAGCCATCGACACCCAATAAGGCGGGGGAAAGGGTGTGTGAGGCGGGTAGGGAAAGAAGGGCAGGCAGATGGGAGATGAGCGTGGGAAGATGCCGCAAAGCAGCCGCACAGAGCCATCGACACCCAATAAGGCGGGGGAAAGGGTGTGTGAGGCGGGTAGGGAAAGAAGGGCAGGCAGATGGGAGATGAGCGTGGGAAGATGCCGCAAAGCAGCCGCACAGAGCCATCGACACCCAATAAGGCGGGGGAAAGGGTGTGTGAGGCGGGTAGGGAAAGAAGGGCAGGCAGATGGGAGATGAGCGTGGGAAGATGCCGCAAAGCAGCCGCACAGAGCCATCGACACCCAATAAGGCGGGGGAAAGGGTGTGTGAGGCGGGTAGGGAAAGAAGGGCAGGCAGATGGGAGATGAGCGTGGGAAGATGCCGCAAAGCAGCCGCACAGAGCCATCGTCACACCCCGCTGCCTGCCACGTAGCTTGGCTGGATGACGGCTGATGACTGGAAGGGAGAGAGGGTGGAAGGTTTTGGGGGGGGGAGGGTGGCGGGAAGAGGTGACTTTTGAGTCGAGTCAAAAGGGTGGCGGGAAGCCACGTGAAAAAAGGAGTGTTTTGAGACGTCTCAAAACACTCCTTTTTTCAAAGGGTGGCGGGAAGAGGGGGATAGATGTGGAGAGGCAGAAACGGTGGGAGCCGAGTACGGGGGAATGCAGCAAACCAGCCGCACACAGAGCTGTCGTCACATAGACCAGTCACCAGAGCAGTAATAGCAGAATCACACTTGGTGGGCACACTGTGAGCGAGCAGCTCCCTGTGTGTATGTGCAGTCGCGGTACACACCCTCTTAGTTGCAAAAGACGCAGATCAGACGCTGCGTCCTGCGTCTGGACGCAGCGTCTAGACGCTAGGACGCAGGACGCGCGTCCAGACGCAGGACGCACGCGGAATTTTTTCGGGCTGCCCGGAAAAAAAAATTCCCGACTCCGAAATTTGCATTCGCGATTTCGACGCGACTGTCGAAATCGCGAAATTTCGACCCCCTAAGGCCAAATCGACATTCTAAAACAACCCCCCCAATATTTCATAACCCCCTCAAACAAAATTGAAAATGTCAAACCTCTTCACCACTCCACATCTACAAAACCCAACCTTTGTGGCCCACCACCAAGCCCATTTAGCAATCCAACCAAGTCTATTTGTGCTTTCCCTTCTACAACCCATCCACCCAATTCTCTTTCGTAAACCATTGGGGCTTTAGGTTAGTAGCCTAACTTTTGTGACATGTGTGATGTGACGTGACGCGTGACTCACCTTAGCCTATACTTTTGGGGGAAAAAATTGTTGTTGGGGAAAATTTTGCCTTGAAAGTGTGTGGAAGGTGCCCCACCCCCTCCCCCTGCCCATGCCCTATACCAAGTTTTTTTGCCTGCCCGAAAGTTTTTTTTACCCTGCCCGGGCTTGCGTCTTTTGGTGCGTCCTAGGCGTCCAGGGACAGCGTCCTGCGTCTGGACGCATGCGTCCTAGACGCAGGACGCGTCTTTTTCAACTAAGCACACCCTGTCACTGCATGCGCCAGCAAGCTTTGTCTCACAGCAGCACTCACCAGGGCCGTGACGGCAGAATCACACTCGGTGGGCACACTGTGAGCGAGCAGCTCCCTGTCAAGGTCCCACACGAGGATGGAGGAGATTTCGCCCGACGCGTACTGGTGGTGGGGTGGGTGGGGGGCATGGAGCAGTGCCTTAATAGTTCAACATTTAGGGTTCTAGTGGAGCGAGCAGCTCCCTGTCAAGGTCCCACACGAGGATGGAGGAGATTTCGCCAGACGCGTACTGGAGGAGTGGATGGGACGGGGGTATGGAGGAACAGTGGAGGGGATGGAAACTGTGAGTAAGCAGCTCCCTGTCACAGTCCTACACGAGGATGGAGGAGATTTCCCCAAATGCATACTGGAGGAGGGGTGTGTGGAGGGGTGTGTGGAGGGGTGTGTGGAGGGGTGTGTGGAGGGGTGGGTGGAAGGGGCATAGCACGATGCGAGGAACGGAAGGTTGCGGTAATGAAGGCTCTGTATCATGCAAACGGGCAACTCCCTGTCAACGCCCCACACGAGGATGAAGGAGATTTCCCCCGACGCGTACTGGCGGGTGGGTGGGAGGCATGACCGGAAAGGGTGGATGGATGGAGAGGGTTCAGGGCCACATACATACATCAGACTGCAGAACAATCAACAAGATCCGTGCCAGGTAGGTACCCCAAAAGCTGCTGCCATCCCCCCCCCCCCCCTGCCCTAAACAGCTCCGCAACCCCGTCAGCACCGACCAAAAAAAAAAAAAAAAAAAAACTACGAACCACCTCAAAATACCCGCACCAGGCACCCATACCCCCTTTGAAGCGTACCAGGTACCCCATAAGCTGCTGCCATTCCACCACTGCCCCCGTTCGCCCTCTCGCCCCCACACCTCCCCCTGCTCCTCCCCCTCCACCACCACTAGAACCCAACCCTCCCATCCCTCCCCCGGTGCTGCTGCTCCCACTGCTGCCGAAGCTGCTGCCGAATCCGCCGCCGAAGCTACTGCCGAAGCTGTTAGGCGAAGCAAGAGGCTCGGAGGACCGGCCCTGCTGGCCCCGAACCTGCTGCTGCTGTTGGTCTGATCGGTGGTTAGTATGATGGTGCTGCTGGTGATGATGATGGTGCCGATGCGACATGTTAGAATCAGTTACTTGCTGTTGCGACTGTAGATTAGAAGAGGATAAAGACGTGGAAAAAGGAGAGGCGGAAGGTGAAGGGATGGAGGAGGAGGGACGGGCAGTGGAGGAAAGGGAGGAGGGGGAAGAGGAGGAGGAGGAGGAGGAGGAGGTGGTGGGAGTGGGATTGAACTGCTTGCCATGCTGTGGCTAATCGTTGCTTGCCTCTTCGAGCAAAGTCCCTCCACACACGCACACTGCCGTCCCCTGGGAAAAACATACGAATAGCATGGAGATTTCAGGTTTCCAAACTGACCCTCAACAAGCTACTATGCTGAAGGCTGTTCTAAACAGCAGCAAGAAGATAGCGAATGAGAAAACTCTTACTGGAAGCCACGAGCAGTAGTGTGCCATCTAGCTCATGAGCAAACAAAGCTGGCTCACTCCCTTGTGGAAAGAGAGAGACAAGCAGAGGGAGGGCTCAACCGAAGAGAGGAATACTTACTGGAAGCCACGAGAAGCAGTGTATCTTCAAGCTCATTGAGCAAGCACAGCTGGCTTACTTTCTTGTTGACTTTTGAGTCGACTCAAAAGTCAATTGAGCAAGCACAGCTGGCTTACTTTCTTGTTGACTTTTGAGTCGACTCAAAAGTCAATTGAGCAAGCACAGCTGGCTTACTTTCTTGTGGAGAGCGAGAGAGAGAGGGGTCAGGCAGAAAGAGGATACTTGGAGAATACTTGAAGATAGCGAATGAGAAAACTCTTACTGGAAGCCACGAGCAGTAGTGTGTCATCTAGCTCGTTGAGCAAACAAAGCTGGCTCACTCCTTTGTGCCCGTCCGCACCTCCCCCGCCCCCCGTCTGGTTGTCAAACGTGCTCACTGTCAAGCCCTCCTCGTAGTTCCAGATTCTGACAGGAGATGGGAGAAGAGGGACGGAAAAGACAGGACATGCCACATGTTAGCTAGCTGGTCGAGACTGAAGAGTAGCAATGCACATGCTAGCACACCCACTGCTTTTGAATCGACTCAAAAACTGAGGAGTAGCAATGCACATGCTAGCATGCTGTCACACACGGTCCACACCCCACCCGAGTTGTTACAAATGCTCACCCCTCCTCGTAGTTCCAGATTCCGAGGTAGAGAGAAGGAGAGGTTGGAGAATTGAAGCGGTGAAGGAAAATGTTCGGCAATGCTTGGAATTTGAACTAGAAGTAAAATATATATATATATATATATATATATATATATATATATATATATATATATATATATATATATATATATATATATATGTATGTCAAACATGCCTACGCTACTCACCTCACAACCTCGTTCTCGTCCGCGATGCACACGAGGGGCAGGAAGGGGTGCAGGAGCACGGCCTCTGTCATCATGTCTGACTCTGTGTCGAAGCTGGCGATCTGATCGCTCACCTTGCTCACCGCTGAGGGGGAGATGGAGAGGGAGAAGGCAGGACGGGAAGAGGTTAAGAGTGGTACGAAGGGGTGCAGGAGCACGGCCTCTGTCATCATGTCTGACTCTGTGTCGAAGCTGGCAATCTGATCGCTCACCTTGCTCACCGCTGCACACACAAGGGAGAAAGGAGGGGGGGCGGATGGGAGAGCGAGCGGGGAGAGGGAGCAGGGAGAGAGAGCAGGGAGCGTAGGGTGATAGAGCAGGGTGAGAGTCAAAGCAAGGTGCAGGAGCACGGCCTCTGTCATCATGTCTGACTCGGTGTCAAAGCTCGCGATCTGATCGCTCACCTTGCTCACCGCTGCACACACAAGGAAGAAAAGAGGGGTGGAGAGCGATGGGGGGTTGTGGGGAATGAAAGCAAGCAGGGGTTGTGGGGAGCAAGCAGGGGTTGTGGGGAGCAAGCAGGGGTTGTGGGGAGCAAGCAGGGGTTGTGGGGAGCAAGCAGGGGTTGTGGGGAGCAAGCAGGGGTTGTGGGGAGCAAGCAGGGGTTGTGGGGAGCAAGCAGGGGTTGTGGGGAGCAAGCAGGGGTTGTGGGGAGCAAGCAGGGGTTGTGGGGAGCAAGCAGGGGTTGTGGGGAGCAAGCAGGGGTTGTGGGGAGCAAGCAGGGGTTGTGGGGAGCAAGCAGGGGTTGTGGGGAGCAAGCAGGGGTTGTGGGGAGCAAGCAGGGGTTGTGGGGAGCAAGCAGGGGTTGTGGGGAGCAAGCAGGGGTTGTGGGGAGCAAGCAGGGGTTGTGGGGAGCAAGCAGGGGTTGTGGGGAGCAAGCAGGGGTTGTGGGGAGCAAGCAGGGGTTGTGGGGAGCAAGCAGGGGTTGTGGGGAGCAAGCAGGGGTTGTGGGGAGCAAGCAGGGGTTGTGGGGAGCAAGCAGGGGTTGTGGGGAGCAAGCAGGGGTTGTGGGGAGCAAGCAGGGGTTGTGGGGAGCAAGCAGGGGTTGTGGGGAGCAAGCAGGGGTTGTGGGGAGC